GTTCCCCTCTCTCATGTGCCTTCCTYTCCTCCCCTCCAGGAACAGTGAACCAGCTGGGTTGCTGTGCTGTGAGGAGAGGAGAGGTTGGGCGCCTTCCTCTCTTCAGTCCTTCCCACTTTCTCCCTTCCCACCTCAGTTTCCCCCCCCCCCACTTTTCCAGCACCCTTTTCTCACCCCAGTCTTCCTTTTTTCTAGTTTCCCTCTTCCTAACCCAGTCTTTACTATTCCTAGACCCTCTCTCCCCACTTTTCYAGCTCCCTTTCCATCTTGGCCTTTTCCRGGTTCCAGTCTTTCTTTCCCATTTCCGACTTGCTCCTTTTACCATTACAATTTCCCACTTTCTCAACTCCTCTTTCTCACCCATTTTCCCACTTTCCCAGCCACCTTTCCCACCTCAATCTTTCACATTTCTCCACTTACTACTCCAATCTTTCCCACTCCAATATTTCTACCTTTCCAGCCCCCTTTTTTGCACCCCAGTCTTGCTAATTTTGCAGTCTTCCTTTCTCCATCTAAATCTTTTCCAGCTGCCCCTCTTTCCCAAGCCCAATTTCCCCAGCTTTTCCTGATCCCCACTTCACACTCGAGATTGGGGTCTTTCCCACTTTTCCAGCCCCCCCCCTTTCCACTCAAACATTTTTCAGTTTCCAGCCCCCCTTTCACACCTCAGTCATACCCTCTTCTCCAGTTGCCCCCTTCCGGCTCCAATCTGTCCTACTTTTCCAGCTACCCACTTTCCACCTCATTTTTCCACTTTTTCAACCACCCTTTCCAATTTATTTTTGAAATTTACCAGTAGCTGTTGCATTTCCCACCCTCAGCTTATACTTGAGTCAGTAAGTTTCCCAGATTTTTGTGGTAAAATTAGGTGCCTTGACTTATATTTGGGTCAGCTTATACTCAAGTATATATGGAATTTATTTATTTATAACCTCTCCTTTTCACTCCAAGGGGGATTCAAGGCAGCCTTACAGAAAGACAACATTTCAATGCATTATAAAACAACAATAAATTAAAGTAAGCAATTGCATTAAAAACATGGAGTTAAGACAATCATAACCTCTAGTGACCTCTCATGGGATCCTGAGGTCCACAAATCCTGCTCTACAGAAGTATCAAACAGAAGTACAATGGGCCCTTGGTATCTGCTGTAATTTGTTTCCCGGATTCCTTCACATAACTTTTGACCTATAGCAACTCTAAGTCAAACCTATCACAAAATTGAGTTCTGATGGGGTTTGCCAGTTCCATTCATTGAGGCTGAGAGAAATACAATTTGCTCAAGCTCAACCAATGAGTTTCTATGGAAAAGTGGGGATTCAAACTTTTGTTAGCCTAACACTCAAATATATTGTCTGCATTATGGGAGATGTATTGATATAGAAATATTTGCAAGGTAATCCAGAAAAGCAGAAGTGTGTAAGATGGAAGCATAACTGTCAGCTCTCTGCTATATGCATGGTTAAAGATGCCTGGCTTAGTATTATGCAGCTTTAACCATGCATACAGCACAAAGCTATGTTTCCACACTGAAAATCCAGCTTTGCCAGAGCATCTGCAAATATTTCTCTATCAGTGCAGCCCTTTCAGACACTGCTACTTATTTGTTCTGATCTACTGAACCTTACACAAAATTGAAGCTATCACATTAAAGCCTCCCTCTAACTGAATAATGGTCATTTCAGCTTTGTTGCAGTGCTGGACCTCCTCCTCCAGGGTTAGTAAGGAGCAGGGGTTGCCAGATACTCCCACAAAATATTGATTTTGTGACAACAGCGATTAGACAGGAATTTGATTACTTTATGGTATATCCTATATAATTTTTAAGGCTTCAAGCACAAACCTGAGCTGCTAGATTTGCTCCTTTTGCAGTTATACTCTATTTGCTTGCCACTTACTAAAAATAAAATTAATGATTTTTACAGAGATGACGGATGGAGATATTTTTGAGAGCTATTATTGGTGTTAATGTGAATCATATCACAGGTCCTGTTAGTGCAAGATCTATTCTGAACAGAGCTTGCAATTCAAAAACACTTTTAATATTATTATTATAGCTTTCAGAATTCCTCAGCCAACATGGTCATTGGACATCCTGGTTGAGGCATTCTGGAAATTACAGTCCATTTTTTCTATTAAAATATTTTCAGACTTTTACTCTAATTTGTCTATCTTCAGATTTTCAAATGGGAAGTTTTCACAGACCCATCTGCATGTCCATAGGATCAGAATTGAATTTTGTTGTAATGTGTGATGTGTTTTTAACTGTATATTACTGTATAACTTGTATTGTGTAAACCGCATTGAGTCGCCTAATCTAGGCTGAAAAATGCGGTATAGAAATAAAGCAAATAAATAAATAAATAAATAAATAAAAAATATCTGCACAGGAAATATAGCTGTGTAGGGGTTAACCTCATGTATAAGGTTTTGCAGGTGTGGGGCCAAAACTATCACTTTTTATATGTCCCAGGGATATGATGAGTAATTCTGTGAAGAAGGGAAAGTGTCACAACCAACTCAAGGGGCCGGGCAGTGCCTATTTATCTACTAAGGCCATGGTTTCCACTATTTTCCCACATTCAAAAAGGCCATTCACTACTCTACTTGGAGAAGGGGATGGTGTGTGTGTGTGTAGAGAGAGAAGGGGGGTTATTGTATTAACTCTTACTTTTAAAAAAAGAAGAAATATTCCTTTATTTGAGTAGAGTGGCAAAAGACAAGAGCTTAGTTCATGCCAGGAGAATCTTTAAAAAGCAGCAACCCCCTCTACTTTCTTGGCACTCCTTCCAGGAACAGTACTAAAGAATTGCCACCTCTTCCATTTCCCCACTCAAGCATTCGAAAAAAATTGGAAGAACTCTCACAGTGGACAGTAAATACTACTTTTGGGATGTCCCAGGATGGACTATGATTTTGCCTTTCATCAATCTACTCAGAGAATGGAATGGTTCCTTTTATGGTAAGTTTTAAGGCACAGGGAAGTTGGTAAGTTTCAAGGCAACATTATCCATGGATAACTCAACCCAGTTTTTGGAGGTCAGTTCTTCAATTAATATTTCCCAACTTACTCATTAGTATATACAGTATCTTCATTACCATTCCTCTACTGCCCACAAGGACTCAATGGTCTGCATTACCCTCTACAAATGTAATCAACTTTCTTTTTGAACATATATTTCGTGAACTAGATTTATGTTGGTAAAGGTTCAGATTACACTACAATTTTGTCAAATTAGAATAGCCCGTGAGCTTCTACCTTTAGTACAATTCAGAAATGAAGGCCACTGTTCCAAACATACTAAGGTGGAGACTCTACTTCTGCAATGCACATTTTTTCCATGGGCTTTCAGAGTTATAGAAGTCAAAGACCTCGTGTTTCTCTCGATCCTGAATGCAATTAACAGTAGTTCAAAGAGTGAAGGCAAGCTTGCATCGTTATTTACTTTGAAATATGGATGAACAGAAATGCAGCCTTACAACTTATTAGAAGAAAGATCCATAAAAGTTAACCGAACTTATTCTGAGGTGTGAATGTATATGACTTTCAACTAAGGCATAGATTGTTAGTCCTGCTTCAGCGGTTTCATTTCTTTTAAAAAAGTAACTTCTATTCTCTCTCTTTTTTTACTTCTTTAATGAAAGGTCTAAATAGATTTATTCGAATTTGAAAATGAATGCTGTGGGTTAGGGGTTTTTTGGAGCCAGTTTTTTTTTTTACAATATGAAAAATGTTGCACAGACAATATTGCTAAGCACAAGTCATTAAAATGTCATGTAGATAGATGGCAAATCATCTGCAATTTCATTCCACTCTGGATGAGAGACCATCTACGTGAGCATTTAAGAAACCAAGATTAAGAGTCCAAGCCAGGCTTTCAATAGCTTACGATATTAAATTCCCTTCTTTAATTAACCAATATATTCCACTTTAAATGCAACATTTGCAGATATAAGTCAGTGGTTTTCAAAAACTGTGTTCCTGGAAACCACAAGGTTCCTCGGAAGTTCACCAGGGGTTCCTTACTGAGATATATTGGTAAAGGCAGACAAATTGTTTGCAAGGCCATTTGCTTCGGTTGAAACATCACTCCAAGCTACAGTTAAAGAAGCTGAACTGACAAATCGTTGTTCATGATCAGATAGGAATATAAAGTGCAGTTGCATCCATGGTTTAATGCCAAATATATCTTGGCATGAAATCTCAATTGCCAGCTCATAAGTATTGATGTCACTCTCCCTGTACAGGCACATGTGTCAAGAGCCTGTAAATGTTTTGTTTGGTTGTTTTTAGATTATAATTCCTCGGATCTTCTAGTTAGCATAGGACATGGTGATTCTGGAGCTGTAATCCAAAATAACTATTTTTTCCCAGACTCTTGCTTATGACATGGAATTTGGGGATCTTTTGTATATGGATAGAGAAAAGCCATTTTAAACACAAAAATTGGAATCCTGATATGGAGCATTCAATTAAACTATAATTTTATGGCTTGAACATATCAACAGATAATAATTTGATCAAACCAGGAAATATGCCATGAAATCAAGACTATGGAAGGAAAGGGGAAAGCATGTCTACAGTTCTCCAAACAAATGTTCACAGGGTCAGGAATATGGCATCTCAGTATAGCTTATATTACAAATCAATTTAATATCTGAACTGTAGCCCACTGGTTATATTCGCTCTTTCTCTGTAACTCCTGGCTTCACTGAAGCAATGGATTAGATTTTTAGACCTATTTTGAATACATAATAAACAGATTGCAAGATAGAACACACTACTGAATCTTCTGCAAGATGGAGGAGTCTCTCCAGAATCAGCATGTGGGATTTTATTGGCTGAAAAAATATTTAAAGGAAATGAAATGATTTAAGGAAAGGCATCTATGCATAAATAAAAAGTAGCTGTTGAAAAATTGTGATATATCTCAGCTACACTGGAAGTTAAGTGTTTACATTTTTGTTATATTTGTATTTTGCCACGGTTATCAACTTACTGGCTCAACAAACTCAAACTTCTTTCTCTCTTGTACTTCTTGAATTTTAAATACATATTCTAATGATGCTTCATAGAAGTTTTGATGTTCTCTGTCAATCTGGGTATCTGCCTGAAAAGAAAGCAAAATTAAAAGTTAGAAAAGATCACATGTCAGCTACTTTTATTTTTATTACATAAGTGATTCTGATGACATCAGAAACGTTATCCATAATAGATGCAGTTTTCAAGAGAGACCACTGCATCCTATTTTCATTCATTACATTCACCTATCATTCAAATATGTCATAACTATCTAGACCAGCGTTCTCAACCTGTGGGTCCCCAGGTGTTTTGGCTTTCAACTCCCAGAAACCCCAGCCAGTTTAACAGCTGTTAGGATTTCTGGGAGTTGAAGGCCAAAAAATCTGGGGGCCCACAGGTTGAGAACCACTGATCTAGACAGAAGGGCATTATAAAGTTGCCTGAAAGTGTGAAGACAGGATGTCAACATGTCTCCTCAAAGTTCTCCCTTCTCTTATTTTAAAAAAGGTATTTGGGCATGAGTAAAATAGGGGGAATCTTCAGGTGAACTATGACCTCTTCCCCTGAAAGAACAACTCTTCGTTTGCTACCCCAAGTACCGGGGACATGTTCATTGTCAGTCATGCTCCAAATGTTGTGCACCCATGCCTAACCTTTCCCACAACCCCCTCTTGCGAGTTTTGTAATCTACACAGGTGTTGGGAATCAGTCTGTGTTTGTGTTCCAGGATCATGATACTTCTGATGTGGGCAATGATGTGGGCAATGCTGTGAGAAAGGATGAGGGAAATGATGGTGCCAAGGCTGAGGTGCAAGACGGAGATAGTTTGGTCAATGATTTTCATGCAGACAATGACAGAGAGGCCCCAGTGCAAAGGGCAGTTTCTCATGAGAATATTCCTGCTGGGCATAGGGATGATAGTTTTCTCCCTCTCTCTATGAGCTCACAAGAATTGGGTTTGGAAAACAATCTGACACCTGGAAATTTTAATGAGCAGCCAGAAAGGGAGCTGAAAAACAGGCGCTGGAGTGTAGCCAGGACCGACAACAAACTCAAGATTTATGTCACTCTGAAAGGCTTCATCAGATAAGAGCCAAAGGAGGGGGAAAACAAAACCAGTTTCTGGGTTTTGGGATAGAAGGTTTGCTTCAAGGGAAAACCTGTTAGATCAGGCATCGTTTGGAAATCAATTCATGTGCCATGGAAATCCTGTTTAAGGGGTCTTGTTCCTGTGGATGCTTCTAGCCTTTTGGTGTTGACTAGCAGCGTTTGGATTGTCTTTGCATCTTGTTGATTCCTATTGGATATATACTGCCATGGATTGCTTTTATATCTTTTATGGACATTGCTTTGAGTTACTGCATTTTACAGACCTTTTGCTTTTTGGAACTTTCCTATTTTCTTACAAGCATTTCTTTCTACTGGCTATTTCATTAAGCTTCAATAAAAAAGTATTTGTTTCTTCACTCAATATGTGGTGTGTTTTAAAGTCAAAGGGCTTTTCCTGCCCTGGAGTGCAACAACAGGCATGAAAATCCAGACACACAACTTGAGTTCTCCCTTGGATGCCTGCAGTTTTGGTGATTATCACAGGTTACACTGGATTTGCTCCACTTCTAGCAAAGCCAAGGGGGTGCTCTGGAATTTGTTAGAAATTGTAGCATATCCCAGTTTCAAGACCGTGTGGACAGTGGATTGGGTATGATTTGGAGTGGGGAAAAGGGGCAGATGTGTCACCGGTTCCTCCTCCAAGTTGCCTGTAAAGCTCCATCTGAGCTCCCAGTAATCATGGATGCCCCTTACTGACATTATCAGAGGAACAGCATGATCAACAAGAAGGAGAGGAGATTGTTCCCCTTATTCTTCCTAGTCACATAGGTGTCTCTGCTTGATGTCAGAACAGTGTGCCTGAGATGGTCAGGAGTTTAGAGGGAGTTCAGCAACATGAAATATGAGGTAATGGTTCAGCAGGATAGATATGGTCTTGACCTGGCTGGACCATGTGGATGTTATCCTTCAGCTGAAGTGGGTTTGGTAGGGTCTACCTCTGGAAACATTTCTGTTCTGGTCTGGGTTCAGACTTACCAGACAGTGCTTTTTCCTTATCTGGCTTGCCACTCTGACAGCAGCAGTGGTGGCTCATCGGCTACAGTTGCAAGCCAGGTGTTTGGAGTTCATTGCTAGTTCTACAACTGCATTTATTAATGCTCCTATTACATGATTTCCAGCTGTAACACTGTGCCAAAGAAAGAATGAAGGCTTCCATTCCCTCAGTGGCACAGCAGCAAGTCAGACAGGATGGGGGCAAAGGATAATAGCAGGAAGAATTTAAATTCTGCTCTAGCTTAGATTTAAAAATCAATTCCAGAGAAAAACCTCTGGGATTGTAATTCTAGCTTCCAACAAGAAATTAACATTAAGATCCACTGAGAGTCATATTTCCAGGCAAGGAAATGTATATTATCAATGTTGATGTTAGCCACAAAATATAGTTCTGAAAAGTTCCCTCCATTTTGAAAAAAAATATTATTATTTTTCTTGGTGGAGTGGAAGGGAAGAAAAGAATATGGAAGTAATTGCTTGGTTCCTCACATCAAAGATATTCCAAAACTCATTTAGCATTTTATTCAATGTAGAGGATAAATAAAATATGGTTTACATTACTGCTCTTGAAAAGACTGAGCCATTCATATCAGAAAGTGTGCTGAAATGAACATGGATTACAACTCTGAATGAAACATCTTGTCAACATGAAAACACACAGAAACAAAAAAAGCTTAAACAACCCAAAAACATAAAAGAAAATACATCTGATTTTTAGAAATGAATCGGATAATGCCAATATGCATTAACTGCTTTAAGAAAGAATATCTTGGACCTTACATTTGGTAGATTATTACAGGAAAGACCAATAAAACGACAAACTACAAAATAAATGTATGATCTGTCATGGGCTCCATGCCTCCATGGTATTTGATATGTAAGATCGATAAGGAAGAGAAACGAAAAACCAAATATAAAAAGGAAGTATTAAAAATATTTCTGAATACTAGGCCCATTACAAATAATGATTTGAAATGACATTGCTCTTCTAGCCCTAATTTATTATCTGCTCTTGCACTCTTCTACCAGCCTTGAAACTATATTGCACAAGCTCCTTCTCTCTGAGTTCAGAATTTATTACTGTTCAGGTTATTGATTGTTTTATGATGTTGTTTTATGGTATTATGATATTATTTATTTTATTGCATCATGTTTTTAATCTATGTCTGTTCGGGCTTGTCCCCATGTAAGTCGCTCTGAGTCCCTTCGGGGAGATTGAGGCAGGGTACAAAATAAAGTTGTTGTTGTTGTTATTATTATTATTATTATTATTATTATTATTGGTCAAAGGACATTTAATCAACTACCAAGCTTGCAAATTCTGTGTTTTGTCTGTCTGTTGGTTTGTTTTTGTTAAAAATGTAATACAAATGTCTGGTTGCTGATGACACAATAAATAAATATTATTATGATTATTATGATTATTATGATTATTATTTGTTGCTGTTGTTGTAGTAGTAGTAGTACATATGCTATAGAAATCAATTGAGTTTTAGTTTGGTTAGAGAGTACAACTTTCTTTGGACAGGGTCAACTAATTCTGGAAGATCAGCTTTCTTTGAATATGGTCAGCTACCTCTAGATGCAAACATTGCTTAAAGAACAGCATCAGAGAAAACTTTCCAGATAAAAGTAACTAGAGTAGCTGAAGAAACAATGGAAAGTGAAAAGGGGCAATATTTTACTTAAGCTTAAAAAAAGAAGTTGGAAAAAGCCATTCTTCCACCTGTCATAACTAGAAGATGAAGCCACATAGAATCATAGAGTTGGAAGAGACCTCATGGGCCATCCAGTCCAACCCCCTGCCAAGAAGGAAAATAGCATTCAAAGCACCCCCGACAGATGGCCATCCAGCCTCTGTTTAAAGGCCTCCAAAAAGGGGTCTCCACCACACTCCGGGGCAGAGTTCCACTGCTGAACAGCTCTCACAGTCAGGAAACTCTTCTTAATTTTCAGATGGAATATCCTTTCTTGTGGTTTGAAGCCATTGTTCCGTGTCCTAGTCTCCAGGGCAGCAGAAAACAAGCTTGCTCCCTCCTCCCTATGACTTCCTCTCACATATTTAAACATGACTATCATGTCTCCTCTCAGCCCTCTCTTCTTCAGGCTAAACATGCCCAGCTCTTTAACCTGGGCATGTTTATCTTTATGATAATGCTCTTGAATAATCTAAGAGTGACTCTTGACATTTACAGGATAGAAAAACTTCATATAACAGAACCAGCAATGAGCAAGAATTCTTTTTGTTCTTCATTAGATGTCATCAAGTTTGAGTGTGGGAGAGAGTGAAACTTCAAGTCTGCCTTAAGTTTCTCTTCTGCAGGAAAAGATGGGTTATAAATGACAAAGTGATGGATTTGCTCCCTAAAAGGAGGAATGGGTACACATTTCCCCTCACATGCTATTCCTGGATGATGAAGGTTCTTTCCATACAGACTCCTAACTTAATTCTTCCATCTGTTTTTTTTTTCAAAGAGAGCAAATCAGATGAACTGAGGTTCATTTGACTGTCTTCACTGCTTAAGAAGTCATTCATGGCACGCTCCTCTTTCACCTTTACATTTTATGCTGGTCCAACATTACTGTTTGAAGTGAGTCAACATCTCTTCAAAACACACTTGCTTTGCTTCTGTGCTAGCTTAAACTTTTTTCAAAGCATCTGTTTCTTTCTTTCTTTCTTTCTTTCTTTGGCATACTATGCTCTATATGAAACCTATTTGGGGAAAGTAATATGGTGTGGCTCTAGACAACATTCCTATGTCTTTCCAGTTCCATTGAGATTGAACTGAATCACAATGTTTGGGTTCATCAATTGCTAAATTGGCAGGAGGCATGGTAGATCCTGTCAACTAAAAGAAATTATTTAAGCAGTTTAACCATGTTTGCATTTGAAACCATCTTTTGCAAGAATGTGAATACATTGCCGGATAAACAATCCGGCAATGTATTCACATTCTTAAGATTGCTGGATGAACAACTCTTATTTCCATAACTTTTTTTCAAAATAAATTTTATTGTAAGGATAGAATGATGCCTTCCCTCCACCCCCTATATATTAAAAAAACGAGGAATGGGGGGAAAAGAAAGAAAAAAATTAAGTACCATATATTCCAGTGTATAAGACAACTGGGCGTCTAGGATGACCCCCCCCCCACTTTTACAGTTAAAATACAGATTTTGGGATATACTCGCCGTATAAGACCACCCCTCTTCCAACGCACACCAAATAAAAAAAATTAAAAACATCAGATTTGATTTTAAAACCAAGACTGTCAGAGTGATAGCCAGCTCTTTGGCTTAGAAAGCGAGATGAGCACCAACCCCCAGAGTTGGACACAACTGAACTTAATGTCAGAGGAAAACCTTTACCTTACCTAGAGTGAGCCCAGATCCAATGTCCTTTCCCAAACAACAACAACATAGAATCATAGAATCAAAGAGTTGGAAGAGACCTCATGGGCCATCCAGTCCAACCCCCTGCCAAGAAGTAGGCATATTGCATTCAAATCACCCCTGACAGATGGCAAATAATAGAACCCTAGAGTTGGAAGGGACTCCAATGGCCATTCAGTCTAACCCTAATTCTGTCAGGCAGCAAAACACATCCAAGTCCTCCTGACAGGTGGCCATTCTGCTTAACAACAACAACAACAACAACAACAACAACAACAACAACAGAACCCCAGAGTTGGAAGGGACCCCAATGGCCAGGGAGGAACATATATCCAAACCCTCATGAAAGGTGGGCCATACAGCTCTGCTTAATAACAACAATAAAAACAACAACAACAACATAATAATAATAATAATAGAACCCTCAAGTTGGAAGGGACTCCAATGGCCATCTAGTCCATCCCCACTCACTCCTGCAAGGCACGAAGACACAATGCAAGCCCTCCCAACAGGTAGCCATCCAGCTCTCCTTGATGATGATGATAATAATAATAATAATAATAATAATAATAATGGAACCCTAGAGTTGGAAGAGATCCAATGGCCATCCAGTCCATCCCCACTCACTCCTGCTAGGAAGGAAGACACAATGCAAGCCCTCCCAACAAGTGGCCATCCAGCTCTGCTGATGATATGATGATAATAATAATAATAATAATAATAATAAAGAGTGGGGGAGGGGGGCGGTGCGGCGCAGTACCAAGAAACCATCCCCAGCTGGTCTTCACGGTGGCCAGCCTGGTGCTGGCTCTGCCGCCACTGGCTTGGTAATTCCTCCTCCTCAAGCCTGGAGCAGCTGCGGAGAGAGCTGAAGCCAGAGCGGGGGGGGGGGGGGTAGGGGCAGAGCCAGGCCGCGCTGTGCTGCTTCGGCTCTCGCAACAGCTGGTCCAGGATTAAGGCTGAAGCAGCACCAATCCAGTGGCAATGGAGACAGCATCAGGCTCGCAAGGTGGGGACAGCCCAGCAGGCCACCCCCCCCCAGCCATTCTCCAAGGTAACGTGACCTCACGCTCCTCACTGTTCTCCAACGTAACGTGGCCTCACACTCTTCCTCCTCACCCCTCCTTCCCCCCTCGCTCCTCCTCCAGGCTGCAGTGCTTGGGGATGGCGAAGGAGGCAGGCAACTGCCCACTCGCTGGAACAGGTTTCGGCTCCCACAGCAGCTGAAGCGGAAACCAAAGGGACTCCATTTTGGAGATGATTTTCTGGGGTTCAAAAGTCATCTAGTACCCTGGAATATACGGTAGTATGAATTGGAAAAAAACATAAAAAGAAAACGAGTGAAAAAAAATGGAGTTAACTTCTAATCTTCTCTGTAGATTTCCACTTTATCTTGTTTTCTGATTTTACTTTGGTGCTTTCCCCTCTTCATTTCTCTTCTTCTAGGGAATGGCTTTTGCTTCAGTACTTAAATTCTTCTATCCATTCAATTTTTTCTTGTTTCATAAACTGTATAATTGCTGACCAATCTGTTGTGCTCCTTTTCTGTGAATCTTGGGTAATTGCCTGTGTTAAGAGATCCATTTGCATTATCTCTATCACTTTTAATATCTATTGTTCCATTGTTGGGAATTATTTTGATTCCCATTTTTGGGTGCATGTTGTTCTAGCCACCGTTGTTAAATAGTATAATAATTGGTCTTCATTTTTTTATTTCAAAGCCTGTTATTCCAAGTAAAAAGTACACAGGTTTAAATTGGAAATGTATATCTATTTTTTAAATTTTCGCATATATTTCCTTCCATTTTTTTTGGTTTTTTGCATGTCTACCACATATGAAAAAAGTCCCAATTTTCTCTTATTTCCATATTTTTATAAGCTTAAAACAAAAACATCCTTTCACTATCTCTAGCTCTGTATGCATGATTTTTTTTAAAAAATGAAATGATGTTATGGTTAAAGAAATGAATCTTAGAAACATCCCAGAGAAGGGGGACAATGAGCCCTCACTGGACCTGTTGTTGACCTGTGCCTGCTCCCACCAACCTCCCACAATCTCTCTCTCTCTCTCTCTCTCTCTATATATATATATATATAAAGAGTTTGCCTTTATCTTAGAGTTTGAATAAACACTTTTTTCACATCAGAGGATGACATTTCTCCAAACATTTTAAGTCCGTTGAAGGGGAGGAACCACTTTTTTTTGTTCTAGTCACCATTGTTAAATAGTATAATTAATATCTATCTATCTATCTATCTATCATCTATCTATCTATTTAACAACAGTGACTAGAACAACAAAAAATATGACTTCACAACCTCTGAGGATGCCTGCCATAGATGTGGGGAAAATGTCAGGAGAGAATGTTTCTGGAACATGGCCATACAGCCTGGAAAACTCACATCAACCCAGTGTTTTATGTGTGTTGTACCTTTATATTGCCTGTGGATCTACAGTGTGCCTATGAATTTCAATGTTATTTTAGACAATGAATTGCAGATTCTTCTTATTTTCTTGCAAGTGTGTCTGTTTTTCCTGCCATTAGCAGAAGTGGAATTTGGAAAGTTAGGTGGAGTGGTGGTATTCACAGGGAATGTATTTAATTTGAAATTGATTTCCTCACAGAGGTATCGGTTTAATGCATAACAAGTAATTCCAAGCTGATTAACTAGCCTTTAAGAAGTCAATTATAACTTCCAGTAAACAATGAATAAGTTGTCACTGAATTTTTTTAAAAAACTGGAGTTCTTTGCAAATGGGCCTTCTCCTAATTTCTCTCTACAAATGATGTGAATGGTCTAGGTTTGATTCCTAGCAGGCCTGAAGTTTTATAGAAAGCATAACATCAAATGGAGGAGGGTTACTAAGATAGTAAAGGATCTGGAACTACTCCTTTGCAGAATAATTGCAGGAGATGTATAGGTTTGTCATTGAGAAGAATGACTTGATATGATAAACATTCTCAAACATTTGAGGGATTATTGCATTGAAAATGGATCCAGTATTTTTCTTGCAGCTTCAAAAGACATGACCTGAACCAATCAGATGGAAATTACACAGAAATGGATCAAAAGGATTTTCTTTCAACAATAGAACAGTCTGCGATGGTGCTGATTTCCACTGCAGAGTTTAAAACTGAGGTTACATGTCCACCTGACAAAGATGGATTAGATATGGATTCCTATACTGGCATGGAACTGGGTGACACGATCCTTGAATCCCCTCCCCTTTAAAAACTACAAAATTTTATATAATTCTTATTTTAGAAGGAGCAGGGTACAGGTGATGGAGAAGAAAACCCTGTCCAAATGCTTAGAGATAATTTTAGGTCAGAATTTGTAATACTGAGATGGGACTAGATAAGGATGTGAAGGCTTGGGAGCTGGAAGGAGACAGAAAGTGAGAAAACTATGGGGAAAATGATTCTTCTGCTTTCCCTGCAACACTTTTTTTGCACCTTTCAGTTAAAAAACTGAAGCTTTATTTGTTAGACACAAATAAAATATTTGGAAAATACGTAGCATAAAAATTTGTATACAAAATACATATAATTAATATAAATTTTGCCTACAAAATATTAAAAGTGTGATTGTTATGTATATTAAACCAGAAATTGATTAAGCTGTCTTAGTCACCTGTATATATTTTAGATCAGGAACAATGTGCTTCTTTTAATTTAACTACAGCAGAGTTATGCATTCTCGTTGAAAAAAAACCATTCATTTTAGGAAGAGAAATTTAGAAATCAATATTATCGCTAAATGTTTACCACAACCCAAGATTAAGGTTTTAGAACTATAGGCAGTAATTAAAATAGTGCTTTTTATCCTGATTTATAAAATTAAAAGACAAGATGTTACTGATATTAAATTCACTACTCATAAGCCATGCATGTACCAACCTTAGAATAAAATAATAGCTTGTTAATTTGCAAATTTATACCGCTCTCCAATAAACTATGTTCTAGTAGTAACTTATATAAATTTTTATAGTAACTTAATAACAATTCAAATCAAAATTCAGGATGAAACACAATTTCAGAGCAAAAGGAATTTTAAAAAAACAAAACTTTCAGCTAAAACCTGCCATTTTATCATGGTAATAAAAATAAAATTCACACAAGTGCTCCCTTAATACCAAGTTTATTTTAAGATGGGATATTTATCTTCAACATATCCACTTTAAGACCCTGAACAGAAGCTTGTATTTATATTCCATATAAACTGGAAGCTATTTTTGTTCTTGAGTACATTCATTCCCCTTTCTCTTTTTAAACATGAAAACCAGACCCCAATAATAAAAGCTTACATCTTGCAGGTGTGACTCCTTCTTCTTTGCTGATAAATTTAAGTGCTTTTCCAGGGTAGAATAATACTTTTCACTCTCTTTGTCAAACTTCTTCTTTCCTTCCTGGAAAATAATACATTCCAAAATTTAAAATAAAACTGGAAACAGACATTGTACCAACAGATGCTGAGCCGGTGGAAGAAAAGTCTTTCTAACTGTTGACTATAATAATAAATATACATGGGAATTGTGTGTTTATTGGAGAACTAAAAGTCAATCAAGACAACCCCATTTAGCAGATTTTCATATTTGTACAAGGAAACTGGAGCATGGATATATTTTTTTAAAATCTGTTTCTTCCCATTACACAAAACAGTATTTGAAAAGCAGTTTTCTGTCTTTATTAATTGCAGTGATGGCACAGTACAGTGAGCCCCACAGATTCAAGGGTATAAGGGGCGACTGACCCACACAAAAGTGGAAAAATGTGACTATTGTAATTGCTCATAGAATCATAGAATCAAAGAGTTGGAAGAGACCTCATGGGCCATCCAGTCCAACCCCCTGCCAAGAAGCAGGAATATTGCATTCAAATCACCCCTGACAGATGGCCATCCAACCTCTGTTTAAAAGCCTCCAAAGAAGGAGCCTCCACCACACTCTGGGGCAGAGTGCTGCTTCACAAACATGCATGCTACAGGAACTTTTTCCACCAATAGTCCTGGGCCATCACTCGAGATTTCATATCCATTTCCTTCCAATCCATTTCCTTCTCCGACTCCATCTGCTGCCTCTCTGCCTCTTCCTCACTATCCTACCAACAGTACCAGCTCCTCATTTCCTTCCTCACTTTCTAGCCATGAAGCTTCATCCAGATTTTAAACTCCCTTCTTTCATCTCTCTCCTTTTCCCACCTTCCCACTATGAAGCAATGTAGGAAGGGACATGGAAGAGGCTTCATGGAAGAAAAGAAGGGAAGTAAACAAGGTGCGGATACTGTTGACATGGAGGAGGAGCAGTAGAAGGAGTAGGACGGGAAGTTCAAATTAGTTCAGCTACAACTACAAACTTGTGAATCAAATTCATCAAAGGTAACACCTGATGCCTCTTGTTGCACAATGTCTTATGGCCCATCCAGACAGGGCCCATATTCCAGGTCCTGTTGCACTTTTACTGGGGGCATCCAAGCAATGCCTCCAATGAAAGAGGATTAATTCAAGACAAAGCAGGAAAACCCTGCTAATGCCAAATTAATTTGATAGTACATTAGACTTGTACCTTTTGGGGTTCTGGAGACCAAAGATGAGAGATGGTACCCCCCCCCCCCAACAAAACCTTTAAAAAGAAAACTTACTGGGCACCATTAGGCCTGTCTTCAGGTCTGGTGGAACATGCCAATGACACACAAGGAAATGAGGGGAGCCAGGAGCTAAGCCTGCCCCCCCATCTCCTCGCATGTTATTGGTATGGTTCATCAGGCCCAAAGAAAGTCCTAATGGCATCCAGTAAGTTTATTTTTATTTTTAAGGGTTTTATGGGGGGGTTTGGGGTGGCTTCATGACAGCACGGTAGTTACTGCGCTGTCATGGGGAAAACCTATAGTAAAGCCCTTTTACTTGTTAGACCAGTAACATTGGCCATATACATTTTGGTGCCTCAAATGTTAGACCCATTTCTAGGTATAATTGACCCGGTGATTCCAAAAATGGCACTAATTTTCTCCTATCGGGTTTAGTTTTTGTCATATAACACTTTTCATCTGCTAGATCATAGAAAACCATGATAACCATTTCTAAGGAACTAGGTGCAGTCTATCCAAAGTAATTTTCTGAATCAGCATCACAAATAACCCCAGTAACAGGTCTAAAAACCAAGACACCAAGAATTGGTTGGGCTGTGTAATGTGACTTCACTTTTACTTATTAAGTCATGTTTTTTTTAAAGGATGACTTTTTTATCCTTATTTTCCAAAATAAGGATAACTATTTCACTTCTAATAGGTTACTTATAAACTCTAGAGCAAGAGTTTTAAACTAAGGAGTCGATGGACTCACAAGATTTCAGGATGTCCATGAGCTTGAATTTAAGAAATCAGCTTATTTTTATTTTCTTTGATCTCTAACTGAAGTTTAGTATTTCCTTCACTTATTTCTAAACATTTGCCAAAAATGACTATTTGAATGGATGTTGTACCTTATTACGTTGTCAGGTGTTGAAATAATGGGATATTTTAAAAACATAATTGTGTATAATCCTAAAATTTAGTTTAAAGACCTGCTGATGTTGAGTGTCATACAACAATTTGTCATTATATTCTGAGAAGGGGTCCATGATTTTCACCTGACTGGAAAAAGACTCTGTGGAACAACAAAGGTGAATAGCTCCTGTTGTAGAGGGAACACTGCTCAAATGTTTATATCCCTTCAGTCATAATGCTCTCCAGTGAAGTCAGTCTATACACCAAACTACAAGTACATGCATGCAAAAAAGATGAAAGACAGTATAGGGAGGTGCCCAATTTCAACCCATTTGTCATGATGATGTACTATATAAATTCAGTAATTGGCACTAAAGAATTTTCGGAAAACCAGACCTGAAGATGTCCCTCATTTTGAAGTGTATTTCAGGACTGCATGTATGCATATGTTCAGTATTTCCTTAGTTCCTTTAGACAATGCCAGATCATTAACCATGGGAAGTAGTTTATGTTGACTGTGAAAACATACCTAAAACTTTGACAAGCTTGTCAGTTGTCCATGGCTTCAAAGCTAGTCCTGAAGCAATAATACTGAGCTATACCAGGTTTTGTCAATAAACTTTCCTTATTACTCAACTTCCAATACTCAGCTTCATGTAATGAAAACTTCTGAAGTCTCATAAAATCTGCTGCAGTTGTTGCATTCTATATTATCAAATTAGTTACTTAATTACTTTCAGAAAAGATAAATAGGTGGCATTTCTACTTCTGGGGGACAGGGGACAGGGGACAGGGACGAAAATGCTCTCTTTAAACCGAGATTTATGGAAACAGTTAAATACGAAATAAGGTTTCCATTCTTGGAATTGTAAAACTACAACTCTGATTTTGTAAAATGTTTGCATAAAGCAAGGAAACAAATCCATTCAGCCAATGCACAAATACATCAGGTTTAACATAGATTTCCCTCCTTTGCTTCCTAAGGAAATGAGCCTTTTGGCAGATGCTAACACTAAAAACAGAAGCAAATATTATATTTTTTGAAAGTGCTTAGGTCAGCCCTTGAAGCTTCTGAGTCAGATGACCATCACAGCCTTCAACCCAGACATGTGGGTTTGGCCTGACCCTTTCCTGGCATGAAGTTCTCCCCACGTTCTGAAAAAAGATTTCTGGAAATGAGAAAGTTACACGATACCCCACCTCTTCCATTTGGTTATTGGACAAACAAGATTGTGCCCTGCTAAAAACAGGTACAGAACACCTGGTTTTAATAGACAGAAGGCATTGGATTAAGTGCTTATCCTCTTCTTTATTTTACTTGCACCTTTTGCAAGATGGAGCTCATTGTTTCAAAGGCTGGGTAACTCTGACCACTTTTAAATTGTGTCTCTTTTCAGGAAGTTCTCTTGTGTTTCTCGTTAAATGACAGCAAATATTCCATACCCCTTCCAGCCAGAATTTTGACAAGCTACATAACTGCAGAAATTTAAATTAGGCACAGAAGAAGAAACAAGTGAGATTAATATGTGGAGTAAACTAAGAGACAACCATCAGTGAACATGCGCACTAACATAATGAATAAAGTAGTCACATACCCATATTCACTTTCAAAAGCACGATTCTGCAGGTGAATACTTACTGTATATTGAATTTTATTGACAGTCGCAGCTACTCTCACAATAAAGTTTAAAAATAGGATTCCAATGAGCACTTGAAATATGCTTTATGATATTTCTGCTACTTGTCTTTGTAACTCCTCTTTTAGAAGAAAATTACATTAAGTGAACTAAGAAAATCATATTACATAACTTTGAAAGAGACATAGTTAAACACCTGTCAGGGACCATTGGATAGGTCCTAAAATCTTTGCTATATCTTGGAATTTTTTGCAGAAAATATTATGGATTAGGATACACAGTGAGTAGCACTTCCAATATATTTGTTACATCCTTAAATAAAGGTATATTCATTACTATAGAAGAGGTTATGCCTTAGCTATTAGGAGATCTGTATTATTCATCACACCTCTGTGAATTTAGCATGAAAGAGGAGATTGGAGGCATTTATAAAAAGAATAAAAATAAATTGAACATAAAACCTACAATTAGTTGATCCTATATAACTAGAAATGTCTGCCTATCTGTTCCAGCCAACAGTTTTGAAGCTTTCTGTTGTTCACATGCACTTAACACAACTTCTACATCAGTTTATGATTTTTTTCAACACAATGCTTACATGAAAATTCATATGCATTTTTATATCTTTCATTTAATGTATGTGCTTCCCAAGGCATCCTTTGGGAGAAATGAGTATTTCCACAATGTATGCAATCTTTATCCGCAGCATATCTAACATTGGATAACTATATCATAACATTGGTAAAAACTGAAAAACTGAAGAATAATTGGATATTCACTTAGAAAATGAGAAACTGGCAAGTTCACACCAAAATGCTAATCAAATAAATGTCTCCCCCATCCTTTTAGACACAATGCTTTCTCAGCTTAATCTGCCCTAGCTAACTTTATTTCAACTCTTCGCTAATGTCCAACAAAAATTGTACACAAAGAACGTTCCTATTTCCTTTTTTCTTGAACTTCCCTTGCATCATTGGAAATATGCTAGTAGCCTTGTAGGTCAAAATGACCATGGAAATGCTAACCAACCAGGTTGATAGACATTTGATCCATCAAAACATATGTTTCTTCACTAAAAATGGCATTTCTCCCCAATATTCAAGAAAATTTCTAAATATTCCAAAATCCTGACATCTTGAGTTGACTGAAATCTATGTCCATTTCTGAGTGTGTTTAGTAATGTAGATAAGTGAAACCATGCAGAAGGAAATCTTACAGTGCATAGCTTACTATTAGTGCAACAGGAAAATATTCGTAAATTCTAATCTCACGTCACTCAAACAATATTA